AAAAAAAAAAAAAAGAACTGATATCCCAGGTGACTCAGATGCTGGTGGTTTTGGAACTACACCTTGAGAAAGTATTTTGGGGTAAAATATTGCATGTTAGCCAAAAAACTGGTTGTTGACTGATAGAATGAATTTTGATGTGTGTTTCTAAATTTAACTGCTCTGGATATCAGGGCTTGATTATATCACCTTTTCCACCTGAAGTTGCTATCCTCAGGCAAGGTTCTCTGAAAACTTTTCAGCAAATCCTAAGATGCAGCAAGTGTAATGCCTAGTCAGATGACAGATTCTTTTTACATCAGTTGTTTTTACATGCATATGAAATAGATATTTTGGTTTTTAAATTTTCAATACTTATGTTAAACCTAATGTAAGTATATCAAAGTAAAAGTATGAGAAAAAGAAAAGCTATTACAGACTGTTAGAGACTGAATTATGTCCCCCCAGATTCATGTGCTGAATTTCCATTCCTGTTACTAATATCAGGACTAAATATTGTATTAGGACTTAAAGATATTTAATTAAACCAGTGGTTAGTTTTCTGGTTTCTTCTCATAAAATGTTGTAAGCAGAATTTAGGCAGTAATGAATGACTTCAATACTTCAGAATGTGACTGTATTTGGAGATAAAATCATTAAAAAGGTAATTAAAATAAAGCTATTAGCTACATCCTAGTCCAGGATGGCTAGTGTTCTTACAAACAGGAGGTTAGACCTATGTATGCACAGTAGACCATGTGAAGGTAGAAGGCAGCCCTCTACCAGGCCAGGGGAGAGGTCTTCAGAGGAAACTGACTCTGCTGATACCCTGATTTTCGTTTTCTGTTTTGATTTTTATTGTTTTTTGTGTGTTTGTTTTTCTTTTTTGAGATACAGACAGCTCTATTGCCTGAGCTAGGTAGGGTGCGGTGGCATCATCATAGCTTACTGAAACCTCCAACTTTGGGCTCAAGCAATCCTCCTGCCTCAGCCTCTTGAGTAGCTACAACTGCAGGCAAACCCCCTGTGCCCAGCTAATTTTTTTATTTTTTGTAGAGATGGGGGTCTCACTGTGTTGCACAGGCTGGTCTCCAATTCCTGGCCTTAAGTGATCCTCCTACCTGGGTTTCCAAAGTGCTGAGATTTCAGGCATGAGCCACCACACCCACTCATGGATTTTGGCCTTCTATGCTCCAGAACGGTGGGAGAAAATAAATTGTTCAAGCCACTCAATCTGTGGTGTTTTGTTAAAGTAGCCCTAGCAAACTGATACAGTAGTCTGTTCCTTAATAAACAACTGCAAGATTGAGTTTATGTAAACTACTCAGAAGCAGTTAATAACTTTTCTAGGGATCTTGTCAAGAAAGTGAGGAACTCAAGGCTACTATGAGCTACAATCAGGTCACTACACTCCATCCTGGGCCACAGAAAAATAAAAAGTGAAGAACTTACTACTAGAATGGTTTTATTTGATAAGAAATTAAGTATCTACAATGTCAAACATTTAAAAATGGCCTGTTTTAAGGCACCACACATTTGTGTGGCTCTCTTTGCAGCAAGTGGACTTCATTCTCAGCTATTGCAGGTTAGAGCCTGTGTAATGATGCAGAGAGGGAACAGCAGCTTTTGGTTTTGTTTTTTTTTGTTTTTTTGTTTTTTTTTTTGAGACAGAGCCTCAAGCTGTCCCCCTGGGTAGAGTGCCGTGGCATTACAGCTCATAGCAACCTCCAACTCTTGGGCTCAAGCGAGTCTCCTGCCTCCGCCTCCCAAGTAACTGGGACCACAGGTGCCCGCCACAACGCCCGGCTATTTTTTGGTTGCAGCCATCATTGTTGTTTGGCGGGTCCGGGCTGGGGATTCGAACCCGCCACCTTAGGTGTACATGGCTGGCGCCTTAGCTGGTTGAGCTACAGGCGCTGAGCCGGAACAGCAGCTTTTGAAGAAACCTTTTAGTTGGTTTAATCTGTGTCAAGATTAAGGCTTAAAGTGAGGATATTAGAATCAGGGAAGGGGGCTTCAGAGATGTCTTCCAAATCTCTCTTATCTATGCACGTGAAGGAACCATTCTAGAAAATTAAGGTATAAAACTTAGGTCCCAATTTCTGGTTACTTTCCTGCATTTTCCACTGCTGTAGTGCATTTACAGTGACTATGTGAATCCTGCCAGAACTGGGGGTACTACGTGCCAGTGGGGCAACCTTGCAATTGTGGATCTTGGAAAATCACAATCAAGGCTGCCTTTCCATGGAGTATCACTTGCAGATCATTGCCTGAGTAGGTTAAAGTGTTTTCCCAAGACTTCAATAGAATTTATATTTTAAGAAATGCCAGGCTCGGCGCCTGTGGCTCAAGCGGCTAAGGCACCAGCCACATACAACTAAGGTGGCGGGTTCAAATCCAGCCTGGGCTGCAACCAAAAAATAGCTGGGCGTTGTGGCGGGCACCTGTGGTCCCAGCTACTTGGGAGGTTGAGGCAGGAGACTCCCTTGAGTCCAGGAGTTGGAGGTTGCTGTGAGCTCTGATGCCACAGCACTCTACCCAGGGGGACAGCTTGAGGCTCTGTTTCAAAAAAAAAAAGAAATGCCATTTGTTTATTTGAAAATTAGAGGAATTCTGTCAGTGCAGTAGGCATGAAAATACTTAATGCATCTGGCTGTTCATGAGGCAGCTGAGACCTTACATCTAAGAGCTAAGATTTACTGAATACCAGTATAACATTTGTGTGAGTTGGGAGGCTAATGAGAATCTAGTAAAACAATTTGAAATTGTAAATGCATCTACACAAGGTATTTTAAAATAGCTTTTATCATTTTTAAATTTAAGGTTAAAAGAAATTTAAAAAAAATTTTTTTTTTTTTTTGAGATGGAGCCTCAAGCTATCCCCCTGGGTAGAGTACCATGGCCTCACAGCTCACAGCAACCTCCAACTCCTGGGCTCAAGCGAGTCTCCTGCCTCCGCCTCCCAAGTAGCTGGGACTATAGGCGCCCGTCACAGCACCGGCCATTTTTTGGTTGCAGCCATCATTGTTGTTTGGCGGGCCCGGGCTGGGGATTTGAACCCGCCACCTTAGGTGTATGTGGCTGGTGCCTTAGCCGCTTAAGCCACAGGCGCCGAGCCAAGAAATTAAAATTTTCAAATCATTATCTCCCAAACACAGCCTGGAGGTACAGTTGAAAGAATTATACAGTGATCACCAATGCATCTGTCAAATACATTTCATGATTTTTTTCTTCTGCTCATGTAAGAAATTTGTTCATAGGGAGGCCACAAGTTTTGTGCCCCTCATCACAATGACCCCAGATTCCTGTTGGGTATGTTATAAACAGAGGAGCCATTCTTAAGCCCCTGCTCTGAGCACACCTATTACATTCTCTTCTCGATCACTAACTACCCCAACTCCTGCCAGAGGTAAGCATTGTTCTGACGTCTATCACCATGGGTTAGTTTTCCCTGTTATCACCACACTACTTCTCCCTAACACAATTATCCTTGTTCAAGAAATAAAAAGGAAAGAAAATTAAGGCCAAGTACAGTGGCTCACACCTGTAATCCTAGCACTCTGGGTGGCCAAGGCAGGAGGATTCAGTGACCTCAGGAGTTCAAGACCAGCCTGAGCAAGAGTGAGACCCTGTCTCTACCAAAAATAGAAAAAAAAAGGACCTTGAACAAATTTCCTACATAAGCAGAAGAAAAAAAATCACGAAATGTATTTCACAGATTCTTTCAACTGTATCATATTTATGAAAAATTGCCTGATAAAATATTGGAAAATTTTAAAGAAAAGAGAAGAGAACACAAGGGAAGCTTCAGGATGAGGGACATGTTCTACCTTAGTGGTTCTCAGCCTGAGGGGCGTAGTAGTCCATTATCCATTTTCTGTTCAAAGAACGCAAAGGTGAGGGGCCCAGGCTTGAGACAGAGTCTCACTGTGTCGCTCTGGGTAGAGCATCCTGGTGTCACAGCTCACAGCAACCTCAAACTCTTGGGCTTAAGCAATTCTCTTACCTCAGCCTCCCAAGTAGCTGGGACTACAGGTGCCCTCCACAATGCCCAGCTATTTTAAGACATGGGGTCTGGCTCTTGCTCAGGTTGGTATCAAACCTGTGAACTCAGGCAATCCACCCACCTCTGCCTCCCAAGTGCTGGGATTACAGGCATGAGCCACCACATCCAGCCTGAGCCTCCCAGTCTTAAGAGTTTGTACTGAGAGCCTTCCCCTTGGATCTGCTGGGCACCAAAGTCTTGTGATGACCTGGAGGTGGTTCTGCCATTACAGTATCACCA